AAATGGACCTAAAAGTTTTCAAAGATAACGTAGTTTTTCAAGAAGAATTCGTGTGAACCATATGACATTCTTATAAAAATTCAACAGTTACGCATTATCATCTTTCACATAAACAGTATTAAATTCATTTGAAAACATCTATACTTCCACAAAACGATTCTGATAATTAAGTGATATCGTTAGGGGTGTCAATTTACAGTTTATTTATTTTAAATTTAAATTTTCTTACTCAATAAATTTAAATTTATCTGAAATTTAAATTTTTGAAAATTTATTTCCCGATTTAATAAATTTTTTTAAATTTAAATGTGACACCCCTAGAGGTGAGATTTCGCAAAATATCGAAACTCCTTGTTCTCAATATTTATTGCACTCAATCGACGTAATTTTTTGCGTAGATTCCGAATATGTAGCCTACGTTGCAATTATGTTGTGTTTTGGTCAAGAAAATCGGGAATTACCATCTCAATTTCAGTGTCTTCGGTGCTGAAAAGCAGTAGGCAAGCTTTTTTGGTCGTGATGTAAGCCTCATTAGTGAGCTTTTCGAATGCTCTATCAATGGTAAAAATGGCTCCGGGTCTCAATAAAATGAGGTAACAACAGCTGCTACACCTGACAGAAAATAACCACAGCTAAATAGCATTGTTAACATTTTGCAAGAAATCCTCAACTCTCACTAGAACTTCTATATATAGTTTTACTCGGGATAAAATTCTGTATCGAATGGTATATAAAGCATGCTGTTTTTTGCTGAAAAAGTACCGACTCGAAATTCAACCACTGTACCTAAAAGATGCTCGGGCGAGCAAAGCCACAACTGCCCTTATGCACAACGGATCAAGCTGAAACTTGTAGAAATGATATAGAGCAACGCGCTCCGCAGTTTGGGAAACTTTCAGACTGAACCGATGTCTTTTTCGAATTGGGCCGAAATAACCCCAAAATGTCCCTCGTCCTTTATCGTCATTATAATAATACATGTTTTTAAAACCAATTATTACATATTCTAAAAGCCCGTGGAGTTCTCTATCTCCCTATATAATTAGATTTCAGTTTGTAGCTATTCGTTATAAAAAGAAATTGAGCACAATGAAGGCATCCTCATGTCCAGATTCCCACAGACATGATTTTTTGATCGTGATCAAAATTAGTTTTTTCGAATTTTTCATTACTATAGAACTATCTTTTTGAAATAGCAAATATATATTCTGAGAGAGCTTGAAATTCTCTATCACCCTGTGTATTTATTTATTTTCTTATATTCATTTGTTTAAAAGAAAAATTAAGCACAATGAAAACATCCTCAATCGACAAGTACTAAGATGTTGTATTTTTTCCCTCGTTTTTTACTATTTTTTGCAAGAATTGTTTATTTATTAATAGTAATAACATCAATTAATAATATTCAATCATTTATTCCAATTGAGAGAAAAAAAGATCATTTTATTGTTTTATCAATTGGAAATAATTATGGTTTAGGTGCAATGAGAAAAAAAAAGAATTAAATGAAAGTTGTCAACAATCAGGTATTGATTTATCACGATGTTTAGCTTTAAATATAACAAATATTCAAGATAATCCTCATCAATGGTGGTCAAAAGAAATTTTATTCGATATTACTGATAAATATATAAAAGAATTTCAAATGGATTTATTAATAACATTTGATCGTGGTGGTATATTAGGTCATATAAATCATTGATCAATAGCTATTGCTTTAGAATATTATATTGAGATAAAATCTCAAACTCCATTAATTTATCAAATCTCAACTGTTTCAACTATATTTGAATTTTCATCTATATTTGATTTAATTTGAACAATCATTAAATGTATACCTCGTCTATTTCGAAGTTTTTTTCAGACTTATTTTCATAATTTTTTTCTTCACTAAATAATAAACATGTTTTATTTGTTAGTTCACCATTTAGATATTTTTAAGATTTAAAAGATTTTCATTCTCATCGTTCACAAATGCTGTGGTTTAGACATCTTTATACAACATTTAGTCGACCACATATGCCTATTAATGATTTAACTAGAATTTCACATTCATTTTTATCTGTATTTTTTGTTTTTAAACAAATAAATAACTCTGATAACAAATCTTGACGATAATTAAATGTCATTATGTTCGATAAAATTTTTTTTTTTATCTCTTTCGACAATGAAAATATAAAGCTTAATAACTAAATTTGTTTTTTTTTGTATTGAATTTGATAATTTATTTAGAGTTGAATGAATTTTAAGCCCTTCAGAGAAAAATAGAATGTACTTATGCATTCATTTTAATTTTTTTCTTATAAAATTTATAATGGAAATTTTAAAACGAAAAATTAAATGAAAATGTTCATAAATATAACCAATTGTATAAGCTGTATAAATAAATAGTCCCAATATTTTAGCATAAAATGAACCTGACAAGCAAATAGCAATGAATAAAAATGAAAAGTAAGACCAATTATTAATTGAAATGCAGCTAAAATAGGATTAATTGGATGTAAATTCCAAATACTAGAAAAATGGGGATCTATAAATGTATGTAAAAGTGTATTTGATATAATCATTGGTCATTCATATGATATATCATTAAGTAAACCAACTAAAACTACTAATGATGTTGTTTGATGATGTCAACGAAAGTTTATCAATACTGAAGTTTTATTTAAAATAACTAAGTAAATATTGATGAAAATCATCAAAGAATTAGATGAAATGATGATTGATTTATTTCAGCTTGTTGCTGACTTATATGAAAACCATTTATTTAATTATTGCATATAACTGATAGAACAAATTATAAAAAATATACAATCAACAAAAAACGAACAAGAGAAAAAGATCCAGCCGCAAACTTAACACCATTACCACGACCAAAATCATCATCACATCCCAGTCCACCACCTAAAAATGAATAAAACTCATAGGATATTAATAATAAGGAAACCAGTTTACCTTGATGTTACTGTGGTGGACTTTCCATATCTTTAATCTTCATAAGTAAAATCTTGAATTCAAATTTTAGTTGTTGAAAATCACGCTCCAGTTTTTCATTTTTTTCACGTAATTGAATATTTTCTTGTTCTAATTCATTAATTTTTGTTTGCTGTTGACTTATTATTGTTTGCTGTTGACTTATTATTGTTTCCTGTTGATTTATTGTTGTTCGCTGTTGATTTATTGTCGTTTGATTGAAGATGGCGAGCGGCGGAGCAACCGGTATGCCGTTAAGAATATTCTAAATAAAGAAAATAACACGTTTTTATTAAAACGAGATTCATCATGAAAGACTGTATTAAAAGAAACACTTATTTTCAAATATCACGACTTTTTTTAAATTTAAAACAAGCAAAAACAGTTGTTAAAACTTTTTTTTCGACATGCAAAGAAAAATTGATTTTGATAAACGAGCAACAACTTAGCCCACTTGTACATTTGCAACATTCATTTGTTGCATCGGTTGTTGTTGTTGTTGCTGCTGTGGTCTCATTTTATTTATTCTAAAATCATTTGAGTATTGAAACTTTTCAGAAAATTAATCTCTGAAGTAAAGATTCATTTCACACTATATCAAATTACACACGCGCAGGTACTGTTCCTTACAATCGTTCGAACTCGTGTCAGCTAATTGCTTGTGGAGTTCTTCTTATTATTCTCAACTATTTCTGTTCATTGAATAAACAATTGGATCTTCATCCAATATTCAATACTATTTTATTTTCGTTGTTGTCATTCTGCCATAACCAATACTGTGGCACCTGGCATTATTATTAGTAGCGTCTCTGATCCTCATCAAGGCGTTACAAGTGGCGATCACACCAGGATTGACGTTGTGAGTTCTGTCTCTCGTCAGCCTGTTAACTATTATTCTGCACAATTAATTACTTTGAACTTTCAATCAACATCGATTCCTTCACCATCTCAACTATTACCTCCATCATCAATGGAACACTGCTCTTTTGAAGAAATGGATGAATTAGTTCGGCCATCTTCTCATTCAGTTACACCAGCAGTTATCGATTCTTCAGAAACTGATCAGGTTGTTCGAAATACAACGACTGATTCTCAACATATCATACTCAAAACAATCGAAGATAAATTTCAAATAGTTTTCGATCGTCTTGCACGTGTTGAGCGATCGAAATCTACACGCACAATCATCAAGAACGACTCCAGACCTGCTTCACGTCGATCAGTTCAGATCGAAAATTCGGCAGCTATATGTTCAGCAAATTTACAAGCACAAGAAGAAATCAGTCGTTTGAAATTAGAACTTGCCATAGCACGTTCACAATCGAATAATAATCAATCATCATCACATCATAGTCGATCATCGGCTTTTAAACCAATTCCAAATTTGGTGAGTGATAATCATATTCATAGCTCACAGGTACGAACACCTATCAACATTATAACACCAAATGTTATCCGATCATCACCATCACCGATACCAATAACAATACCAACTTTTTCATCACCATCGTTAAATTATCCTCCATTAGTCTCTACACCATTTACTATGAATATTAATAATATTTTACCGAACTTTAAAGGTTTAGCAGAAGAACGACCTGTTCAATTTTTAACTGAATTTGAAATTCGAGCTGTTTCTCTTGTCGGGAAAAACGATACTCTTCTATTACAAACTGTCCAACAGGCCCTTTCTGAAGGTGCTCTCATCTGGTTCAGTCAATTGCAAAGATCTCCTGACCGAGCTCATAACTGGAAAGAATTTAAGACAAGATTTTATGAACGTTATCGCACACCTACAAAAGTTGAACATCTTCGTACTGAACTTCGTCTCCTGTTCCAGCGTTATAATGAGAGTACTTTAGACTATTTTGAACGTCTAAAAACTCTTATGGTCGAAATTGACCCCGATTGTAACGATCAGTGGGTGAAAAGTAAATTCATACAGAAACTTCGACCAGATATTCGTACTCGTTTTGATGACGATATTAATCTGTCAATTCGAGAAGTTGTCCGCAAGGCACAAGCAATTGAAACAAGCATCGAGCGACAAAAAATTGATGAAAAACTTAGGATAGCTGCTAGTCAAGAAAACAACAATTCGACTAATTTTATCACTAATAACATTTCATTCGATCCTGTTATTCGTCAACGTTCATTACCTGTACCAACGAATACAACTTCGTCAATTCAACCAAACATTTATTATCATAATAATGATCAAAATCCTTTTAATAATAATCAGACAGTTGATATTACAAATAATTGTCTTCCTATTAATGAAACTGGTTGTCTACCTAATGCTGCCAATAATTCAAATTGTTTCATTCCTCCTAACAATGGACGTAATATGATAAGTTATGATAATCAAAATAATTATAAAAATAATAACAATAACAACAACAATTATAATGATAATAATGCGTACCGATATAATTCCAAATCAAATAACCATTATTATAACAAGAATGATTCAAATGCAAATTATATAGATAATAGTCACATGTTCTATCACGATCCTCATCATTCTTACAATCAAAACAATTCTTTTAAACACAAACATTCGAATACAAAATCTAACAAAAATTCAAATCATAACGCAGTGAGTTCATGTGATCCTTTTATGTCTTATTCTAGTCATTCAAATCATTCACAACCATCACATTCTACAATGTCGACCCACGTTAAATCTTCTAAGAATAACAAAATTAGCTGGTGGTGTCCTCAATGTAAACGACATGGACATTCTTGGGAACGCTGTTCATTTAATCCGGAAAGTATTAATTATCGACCCAATGTATTACTACAAAATTCATCTTCAACAGCATCATATTCATCAACACCTTTAATTTCTTCTGCAACTGTCTACCACGATAATTCGCATAAAAAAAACTAGTCCGGAAGGTAATGAATGAAGAGACCTTATCTTCCGTACCATTGCTGCCGTTCTCTTCAACTAAACAAATGTCTGTTGTTCCAACATCACCTCCTATTAAATCTACAAATAATGATTTATTATCATCAGAACCAACTATTAAATCACCTTCACTTCTCGACCCTGTTAATTCTTCTTGCCCTTTTGATCAATTATCTGCCGACAAATCTTCGGTAAATTCTTCGTCATCCACCGGATTTATCCATCCATCTGATTCTTCTGATTTATCTTATAATTATCCTCGGCATTGCTATTTAACTGCTGCAGCTAAAGTCAATAATATTCCTGGTATCGTATTACTTGACACTGGTTCAGGTGTTACTATTATTAGTTCCAACCATTGGAGAATTATTGGTACCAATAGTCCAATTACTTCTTATGACGGACCCGAAATCCAAGGCCCTGAAGGTAGTTCAATAGGTCCTGAAGGTCGTGTCTTCGTTCAAATTACTCTTGCGGGTATTACTATTCGACATCCTGCAGTTCTCGCTAAAAATTTTGATCACCTTATTCTTCTTGGCAATGATTATATGAAGTCCATCGGTCTTGTTCTCGATTTACAAGATAACAAAATGTGGTTGCGAACTGATCCAGATCGACAATATTCAATATCATCTGATCTAACTCAAGCAGGCAGAATCGACGTTCCAGTTATGTCTACCGAGCATCGTGTGATTGCTCCATATCACATTGCTTATATTCAAGTGAGCACACCAACTTTTCTTTCTTCTAATACTTGGGATGCTTCAATAACTGGTCATCGTCCTCACATCGCTACAGCTAATAGTTTAATTCGTTTTACTGATCGAAAATCATTCGTGCAAATTGTCAATTATTCTGCTCGCCAACAAAATCTTTATGCTGGACAACATGTTGCCGTGGCTGACGCTTATTTTGACTACATGAATCATGAAATTAAAAATCACTCATCTTTGGAATCGCCGATGCCTTATACAAAAGAAGGATCTTATTTGTCATCATTGTCGAACAATCAACACAAAATTAACTTAGAAAATCATTTACAAGACAAGTCGGGTTCGTTAACTTTTGCGCTATCTAGTAAAAATGTAATGTGTGCTGATTCAAATTGTTGTTCGTTTTCTTCTTCGTCGTCGTCGTCACAGAGCCTCTCTATTGCTCGAGAAAACGAACCTCCAGTATCTAAAATTTCTCCACCTACTTCATTAACCTCACATCATTCAAATTCTTTTATTTCTTCATCTATACCTCCAACAACTTCATCAATCACTTCTCAAACATCATTTCTTAATGTTCTATCTACTTCACCTTCTTATTCTCAATATGATTTAATTTCATCTTTATCCCAATCACATATTTCGCCTTCATCCACTTTATCATCTAGTTCATCAGTATCATCATCTACTTTTCCATTTCGTTCACCGTCATCTCATTTACAAACTCTACCCGAGTTCACTATCAATGACACTGATCTTGACTCGCAACAAGTATTTCAATTACGAAATCTTCTTCTTAAATATAGTACTTGTTTTAATGATAAAACAGGTCGTACCTCATTAACTCGGCACTACATTGATACTGGTAATTCTAAACCTATCAAATTGCGTCCTTATCGTGTATCACCCGCTCGTCAAAGTATCATTTCTAATCAAATACAACAAATGTTACACGACGGCATCATTGAACCAGCTAACGGGCCTTATGCCGCTCCTGTTACTCTTCAACCAAAAAAAGATGGGTCTTTACGTTTTTGTGTCGACTTCCGTCAACTCAATTCTGCTACTGTTCGAGATGTATATCCTATACCTCGTATTGATGATACTCTCGATCAGTTACAGAATGCCAAATATTTCACATCTATGGATTTGAAATCGGGTTTTTGGCAAATTGAACTTGATGATGAAAGTCGTCCTAAAACTGCTTTTACAACGCATGCCGGACTGTACCATTTTACAGTAATGCCGTTTGGTTTAACAAACGCCCCAGCTACATTTCAACGCCTTATGGATTTAGTCTTAGGAGGCCTCAAATGGTCTTGCGCTTTAGTTTATCTAGACGATATTATTGTCTATTCTTCTACTTTTTCGTCTCATTTACAACACCTGGAGTTAGTACTCCAGAGAATTCAAGCGAGTGGTCTCACTCTTCATCGTTCAAAATGCCAATTTTGTAAAACAAAACTTAGATATCTCGGCCATGTCGTTTCTCAATCTGGTATTGAACCGGATCCTGACAAAATTCGTGCTGTGCGCGAATATCCGATTCCAATGAAACTCAAAGACGTTCGCGCATTTCTCGGTCTTACTAGCTACTACCGACGATTTATTAAAAATTTTGCTACAGTCGCTGAACCGCTTATCTCACTAACCCGTAGTGCCGATAATAGGCCATTTTTATGGTCAACAACGTGTCAACAAGCTTTCGATTACCTTCGTCAATTATTGATTCAAGCACCTATTGTTGCGTATCCTCAATTTGATAAACCTTTTGTTCTTCAACTTGATGCTTCGGATGTAGGACTTTCCGCTATTCTAGCACAAAAACTCATCGACGAAGATGGCGTTCAACGTGAACACGTTATAGGTTATGCTAGTCGAACGCTCTCTTCGTCAGAACGTCATTTTTCAGCAACAGAACGCGAGTGCCTCGCTATTGTTTATGGTTGTAATCATTTTCGTCCGTATCTTGAAGGTGTTCGTTTTACTATTGTAACCGATCACAAAGCACTTAAATGGTTACATCATACTAAAGATCTTAATAGTCGTCTTGCTCGATGGGCTATGCAAATAGCTGCTTACGACGTTGAAATTCAACATCGACCAGGTTCTGACAACGCAAATTGCGACGCTCTTTCTCGCGCTCCTGTCAATGTTGTATCCAATAATACTATTACATCATCATACACGGATCCATGTACTTCACCTACAATTATTGATCCAGGTTATTTATTCGTTCTTGATTATTTCTCTCATGGTTCCTTGCCTTCGCCACAACGTTTTATACCAATTTCACTTCAAAACAATGTCACTATCACTACTACACCAATCTTTTCTTCTCCTTCTCTTCCTTTCACTTCTCTTGCGAACATACATTTTGGCGACAATATCCAATTGTATGATGATATTCGTGTTGCCCAGTGGCAAGATTCTGAACTTCTTCCACTTCTTAATTACTTACAAGCTCAACAATTACCCGATGATGCTATACGGAAAACAATTCTTCAACTCGCTACTTTTCATCGAGTTATAGATGGTGTACTCTATCGCGTTGTACACTCTTCGAAACTAAATACAGAGAATCCTTCGTCTGCTACAACGACTTCTTCTGAACCAATCTTTAATCATCATCAACAATTTCGTCTTGTTATACCAAAGTCGAAAATAATTGATCTTTTATCGTTAGCTCACGATCATCCTACTTCTGCGCACTTAGGACGTCGAAAGACACTATTTCGTCTTTCTACTCGATTTTATTGGCCTCACATGCGACGTGATGTTGAAGAGTACGTGCGTGCATGTAAACTTTGTCAACAGTACAAGGCTTCCAATCAAAAGCCTGGTGGTTTAATGAGTCCTATAGTCGTCAATGAACCTTGGAATACCGTCGGCATTGACCTTACTGGACCTCTACCAAAAACTCGTCGCGGAAATATTTATATTCTCGTTGTCATCGATTACTTTACGAAATGGGTTGAACTTTTTCCTTTGACTAACATCAAAGCGAAAACTATCGCTCAAATATTTGTCGATGATGTCATGTGCCGTTTCGGTTTTCCAGTTCGTATCATTTCTGATAATGGTGTTCAATTTCTATCGAATATATTCACTAATGTCTGTCAAATCCTAGACATAAAACATCAACGAACACCATTTTATCATCCACAAAGCAATCTATGTGAACGTGTAAATCGTACTATCAAGCCATTACTTGCTGCTCTCGCTCATCACGATAGTAAATCGTGGGATACAAAACTTGCTCAAATCGCATTTGCTTTACGTACTGCCCGGAGCGATTCTACCGAACAGTCTCCTGCATTCCTTATGTTCGGTCGTCATCCTCGCAACGGACTCGATCTATGTTTACCATCACCTACTCCTGTTGATCAACTTCCAACTACGGATGATTTATCAGATTATCGCAAACGTTTACTTACAGACTTATTACCAGCTTATACTGCTACACGCGAAATTCTCGATATTTCTCATCAACGACAGGCTTCTCAATACAATCAACATCATCGATTTATTCAGTTTGAGCCTGGTGATCTTGTTTGGGTCGCTGCTCTTTCTGGTATTGCAATGGGTAAATGGCGTGGTAAAAAGCTTAGTCCACGTCGTGAAGGTCCTTATCGTGTCGTCGAACGTTTATCGTCATTAACTTATTCTCTAATTCACACTATCACCAATCAACAACTTGGTCCAATTCATGTTAATCGTCTTGAACGTTACTATTCATTCAAGGCCATCGATTGAAACAAAAAGAAAAAAATTCAATTATCTTCTCTTCTCTTCTCTTCTGTTTCTCTCTCTCATGTGTTTTAAATTTGTGTTTCTCTTTGTTTTCATTATCTCGCTATTCGTTTTCGATCTCACGTTACTCATCCTTTTACTGACATCATATATCTTAGTTCACTTTTGTTACTTGTTAAACTTATTTATTCACTGCAATGTTAAGTTGCACCAACACAAGTTCAAACATACCGAATCAACGCAAAACAAAAGAAAATACACGAACTAAAGCAGTTTTGTCTCTAATGAGTCGGCGTTATTGTTCTTCTTTCTAAAACACGTAAACTACGTATACTTTTCTTCTATCTGTTTGTTATCACATACCTTCCGCCATACAAAC